TACATCCACATTTCCCAATCCATTTCATGCTCAGCAGAACAAACGGGATTTTCATATAACTAATATTTTTAGAAGATTTATCTTTGTGTGTTGGCTCATTTTCTCAGTTGTGGTTACACAGCACATTTCTTTCCCCCTCCACTACATCTTTATTTAAAATTTCATACGGTACCAACAAATTTGTCTCCATGCCTATCCCTTGTGCTCAAATGCTAACTGAATAAGGGAACACATTTTCTGGAGAGTGAGGATGAAGAAATCTCCAGATACCAACACTCTTCAGTCTGAAAAAAAAGATTAAGATCTCCAGCCTGTGTCTTCTCACTACTGAAATCCACCCAGCTAACCTCATCCAAGAATGAAGAGCAGGAAGAGGCCACCCCCAGCAGGATGATAAAATACACACTACCTATGCACTGTTTTAGTTTTTTAATCTATTTTTTTTCATTGGAATATATGTGGACTGCCAAAAATCAAACAAACATTACAAAAATATGTAATGTGACCACTGTTAATAGTATGGTTAAGATGTGTGTGCTTTGAGAGGAAGATAAACTTTGAAGAACATTCTACAAAAATTAATCCTTTAAATCACATTGCTTAGTGTTAGATTATATCCAGACAGACCTCGACTACTGTCTTCACTGAGCTATGGACACTTCTTTAATGATCTCTGGTAGCCCAAAAAACCACCTAAACTATTAGGCATGGTAGAAGATCTAAGTGTGTTGTCATTTCTTTGGCTGCAATGAAGTAAATATTGGGTTGTTGGAAAAATCATGACGTATTTTTTTCTGGTTTTCATTGCAAAAATGAGTCATGACTTTTCCGACCACCCAATAGTTGAGACTAGAACCTTGAAGAAGTGAAATGTAAGCCTTTGCCTAAAAGGCAAATCCTTCCTTTCATCATACTTGTTGTTTCTTAAGTTGGACACCTCGCTCATTAATATTCAATCTTCTCTTCTACTCTATGTTTATAAGGTTATAAACATAGCATCTAAGGATAGGAAACAAGTTTTGCTGTACAACATCATTTTTATTTGTATATTTTCTATTTTCTAATTTCCACTATAATTCATTCTTTGACCTATGAATTATTTTGATGTATCTCTCTTACTTTACAAATAAGTCACACTGAATTGTCTTGGCTATCTTTATTGTTATTCTAATTTTAATGCACTGTGGTCAGAAAACATGATCTGTATGACTGGATTCTTCAGTGTGTGACCACACATGGTGAGGTGTGGTCTTGAAAAGAATGCGTTTTCTCTAATTGCTAGGATCAAAGTTCTACATATCTACTAAATCAAGCTTGTTAATTTTATTGTTTAAATCCTTATGTCATTATTAATTTTTGTCTAATTGATCCATCCAACTCTGAAAGTCACTTGAAATTTTCCACACTTTCTGTCAATTCTGTCAATAGAATTGTGTCAAATTTTGTTTTAGAAATTTTGAGACTATGATTATCAATTGCATTCAGGTTCAGGATTGTTATAACATATTGGTGAATTTTTTATTCTATCATATAATGACCCTCTAACAATGCTTTTTGCCTTAAAGTCTACTTTCAATGATGTAAATTTAATAGATATACCAGCTTTCTTTTGGTTTGTATTGTTCTTTCCTATCCCCGTTCATCCTTTCTGTGTTCTTACATCTTAGGTATATCTCTAATACAGTATATAGCTAAATTTTATTTTATCTCATCTGAGAACCTCTATATTTAACCAGCAAGTTTAACCAATTTGCCCTTCCAGTGATCAGTGCTGTATCTGGATTTAATTTCTACCATATTATTTAGGGCAATTTACCATGCATTTCTTTTTTCCCTCCCATTGTTTAATGTAAATAGCTAGTCATCCTTGGACACCTGGACAATTTCTAAGTAAGAGAGAGAATACAAAATATTGGTCACCAATCATAGTTTTAATATACCTTTAACTATTTTTATACATTATAGGTTGACCATCAATTAACATGTTTAATAGAAGGTTCCTATGCCCTTGGGTGATAGTTGTTTTACTGAAGTACTTTGTACATCGGCTCTTAGTCACCTGCTTTCTGTTCTTCTCTGTCTATAAGGGAACAGAAACTTATTGCTGTGGTTAAAGGTTGTAACTGGTATGATTAAGGCTATACTAGATACAGTAGTTGCAATAAAAGAATATACAGATTTGAAAAAATGGATGTTTTTTTTTACTCATCCAGGGAATTTTTATAGTTTACTAAGGTAGAAAATCCAACAATATATATTGTTTGCCTACTATGCTAAGATTAATTTTTTTTTTTTTAAGATTTTATTGGGGAATTGGGGGAGAGGAACAGCGTTGGGGAATCAGGGAAGGGGAACAGACAAGTTGCTGTCCTTTTATTCTTCAGTCTAGTTGTGGAGGACGTCGCTTCACTGGCCCATGTTGGTATCATTGTGCTCTTCCCGGGTGAGGCAGATCAGTCGCCAGCCATTGGACAGCTGCTCACGCCGGCTGCCAGCCACTCACAGTAGCTTACCACAGCCCACTGCAGCTTACACCATCGCCATAGACTCACAGCAGCCTAGCTCCAGGTCAAGCTGTTGTTCACCATCTTAGCTGTAGAGGGCAGCGTCACTGGCCCACATGTGGGATCTGAACCAGGGTCCTGCTGCTCAGAGTTGGCGTCCCAAGCCAACTCTTAACCAATGCGCCATTCAGCCAGCCCGCTCTCTCCATGTTTCACACCCCGGTATAACTCTTATTAATTCTAAGTTCTAAATATCTCTTGAATTTGTTGTTTCTTCATTCTGGCTAACACTACCTTCAGAATTCATAATTTCTTTTCTGAATCACTGAAATAATGTCCGTTTCCGTGCTTACCTCCCTCAAACCCATCCTTCACCCAGCTCCTAGAATAACCCATTTAAAATAAACAACTGACCATGTAATTTGCATAATTAACAATCTTCAGTGACTCCTCATTGTCACCAAAATAGTCTCATTACTTATCCCGGCACAGAAGGTCCTCTATAGTCAGTCCCTTTCTACACCGCAGTCATGCCAAGTTATGTGCCATCTTCTGCTTAATCTTCCAGGCAGCCTCACACCTCACCCCAGCTTCCCTGGCCACCCGTCAGCTCCTTATCTTTCAGAACCCAGGTCAAGATTCTTCTCGTCCAGGAAACTGACAAGCAAATTCTTACTGCACCCTTTGTTACATCACTACTCAATGTGCTTAACTATTATTGCACTTATCACACTGTACTGCCATGATTTATCTGTTGCTCCAATTAGATTGAGTTCCTTTTAAGAGCAAAGAAATTCTTATCTCCAGCCACAGTACCTGGCACAGTGCCAATTAGATGAAATACTCAGTACTTACCAATTAGTGAATGCTTTGACTTATGCAATACCGTACGAAATTGACTCTTGTCTTCTAGTGCCACTATCAAAGTACCTCTATCCTCTTATACATCCTTCCACCTCTAGTTTATCAAACTTTCCTAATGACACCTAAATTGTTTCTGAAGTACAATTCCGACAAGTCTTGCTTAACCTCAGAAACCTCCTATTAATCCCCACCTCATTTCCCTGCTGCTCCAGTAGCTCACAGCAACCTAGATTTTCCTAAGTGACAGCTCGGCTTCATCCTAATTATAAAACCAACCTGGAAGGGCAGACAGTACCCAACCAGCCTCCACTTTAACTGCTCAATCACCATCTAATGAAGCTAATGAGCATCAGACACCCTTCTAGATCCAAACTAGAATCTGGTGTTCTGGTAACAGCTACAGAATTCCCATATTATCCAGTTACTCCATATCCATATAGTCCCCATTTTGACTATATGGTAAACTCCATTTCATCACTCTATTTGTACAGCAATGGTGTACGGGGGGCTGGGGTGAGGGGAGGAATGACGCTAAGGGAGATCACTGTCTACAGAGAATTTTAAAACAATCATAGAACTGACAAAGGTCTGCTTTTTATCATCATCATGAAACAGCAATTCTGAACAATGTCAGCAATAAAAGACTACTCCTGCCAGGACCACTCCTTAGAGAACCACTGCAATTCAGGCACCACTCCCTTTGGAAACCCTTAAGCCACTGCAAAACAGAAGCAATCATCTCTTCCTAAACCCTTAATACACATCTGCATCTCCTACAAGGCCATAAGCATGTTAAGGGGAGCTTATCTTTAACCCCTAGTATTGACATTGATGAACACACTCACCCTTCTAGCCAGCTCCCCGTCAACAGCTTGCCTCAGCTGCCCAGTATGGTCCTCAGTGAGTGAAACGCGCCAAGTCCCAGCTCTTCTATGTTGCTAGGAGAAACAAACCATCATGCCTTACACTCACCCCATAGACCAGACTAACTGCATACAGAATATAATTTGAGTTCTAAAGGCCGGCATTCAGAGAATGCCATAATCTGGACCTGACTCTAATTCCTACTAATACTTTCATCATACCAAACTACTTATATTCAGTATATTTCTGCCTATTACATGTAAGTTCTTTTGTGTTAGAGTACTTTGTGTCTGATTTACCAAACTGCAAAGCCCCAGAAGGGAATTTTTTTTTTTTTCATGCGGGAGTCAAACAGTCGAACCACCAACCTTGCTGTTAAGAGCATAGGTTCTATCCACTGAGCCATCGGGTGGCAGCTCAGCTCAAGGTGCAGTTTGGTCCCAGCCGCGGGTGGGTGTAGCCCACCATCGAACAGGCAGTCTTGTCATTAGGAGCACATGCTCTCACCAGTTGAGCCATCCTGACACCTGCTGGCAGCTCAGCTGCAGCTCAGCTCGGGTGCAGCTCAGGTGAAGCTCACTGGCCCATGTGGGAATCAAACAATCAATCCTGTTGCTCAGAGCTCGTGCTGTTAAGCAAACTCTTAACCAACTGAGCCACTCGGCCTGCCCTCCCAGAAGGAAATTGAAACACTCAGTACTCCTTTAGAGCTGTAGATACAACAGACACTCATTACTATCGAATAAAACCAGGGACAGTTAATACATAAAAGAGTAGAATACATTTTTATTATGTCTAATTTTATTACTTTTTTTAAACTTTATTTTCGTAGAATACATTTTCACATTAGATTCCCACAGTGGGGAAATAACAATTTATTATTGAAAGTCTTATATTTGTGGACAGATTATTTCAGGACAAGTATAATGAACACATTTGAGGATTAAATCTCAGTTTGGAATCTGTTATATTTTAATACATCTAATAGGAAACCTCTTCCCTACATGGAACTTTTCTATATTCAGAAGCTCTCCAGGCTCTTTTTCTTTGGATTTAGAAATTAGTAATGTGAAATATTAATGTTTCCTAATTTTAGTTTCCCAAAGACACATAACCATGAGTAACTGGTATCAACTGAACAGAGGGGGGAGTTTTCAAATATGAATTAACAGTCCTTCCCTCTCTCCATCATTCCCAGGACAAATACAGAAGTTTGATCAGGTATTGACAGTAATAAAGCTAATTTCCTTTAAGAGTTTGATAAATTAAAATGCAAAAGCTCATATATGTTTAATTATACTGTGAGTCTTGTGAGAAGCTGGGAGACAACTCTACTAACTCACCAGAATAAAGAAGTCACTCTCACAATTTCTTGGATACAATTCCTCACAAACCTTTTCCTCAAAGATTAAATTGTAAGAATTACCAAGTGATTAGAAGAGATTTATCTCACCAATGGACTTATCTTTTATTTCCTTCTTATTGTGAGTTGAATGGCATGACAGAGCAGAGGCAAAGAGGTGTACAATCAATGTTCAACGTATGAAGTCAAAAGGTCAGAGCTTCCACAGCATGGCAACGGCTTTGCAGATGCCCACATCATGATAGTTGAAATAACAAAGCCCAGCAAATGTTACAGCCGATAGTGCCAAAATGCCTGCCTTGGCAGCCTTCTGCAATGCATCCCCATGGACATAGTCAGTGGCAACTTGTCCAAGGCCCCTAAGGACAAAAAAAATCAGAGTACAAATGAAAAACCACAAATGATGTAGAAGGCTATACAGATAACTTGGTTGCAAAAAATAATCAATCAAGTTCAAAATGGAACAGAGTCATAAACCAAAATAAAGGAATCAGGCGTTCCCTCATAATATAATAGACATTTTCTCATTCTTCAGATTAAATTTTCCAAAGTCATTTATGTGAGAGACAGTAATTAATTGCTACTCTATAAAATCTTGGGTGTTTTTTTTTAAACTAAAATAAATGCTCTACCGAGTCTTTAATTAATTCAAAAAGAATGTATTAAGCAGATATTATGCACCAGAATCTGTCACAGACGTTGGGAGTACTGCAAGGAAGACAGCATCCCTGTCCTTATGAAACATACATTCTAGTGAAGGAGAAAGAGTACGTATGTGCTAGGAAGAAATATTTTTGAAAGGATGACGTGAATGAGAAGAACATTCCAAGCAAAAGTAACAATGACCTTGGCATGTTTGTAGGCTAGTAAAAAGGTTAGTGTGGCTGGAGAACATGGAGATCAAAAGGCAGGGACAGATCACATAGGGCCCTGATGGTCATGAAAAAGTTTGAATTTTATTTGAAATATAATGAGAAACCACAGATATGCTTTAAGTAGGGAGTAATCTAATTTTGCTTTTCTTAGTAATAGTTTTACTGAGATATAATTCCCATACCATAAAATTAACCCTTTATAAGAGCACAAGTTTATTCAGAGTTGTACATCATCATCACTATTTAACTTCAGAAGACTTTCATCTCCCCGCAAAAAACCCTGTATTTTAGCCTATTGCTCAACCATTTATTTGTTTTGTTTCTGTAGATTTGCCTCTTCTAGACATTTTATATAAATGCAATCATACAATATGTGGCCTTTTGTGTCGAGTTTCTTTCACTTGGTATAATGTTTTCAGGGTTTATGCACGTTGTGGCGTGTATCAATACTTTGATCTTTTTTATAGCCAAATAACACAGGCATACCTCATTGTATTGCGTTTTGCAAATATTGCGGGTTTTTACAAATTGAAGGTTTGTGGCAACCCTGCATTGAGCAAGTCTATTGGTGCCATTTTCCAACAGCATTTGTTCACTTCACGTCCCTGTCACATTTTGATAATTCTCAAAATATTTCAAACTTTTTCATTATAATTTATATTTGTTATGGTGATCTGTGATATTTGATGTTACTAGGGCAAGACCCTCCACCAGCAAAAAATTCATGACTTGCTGAAGACTCAGATGATAATTAGCATTTTTTAGCAAAAGGGTATTTTTTTTAATTAAGGTATGTACATTTTTAAAGACAAAGCTAGTGCACACTTCAGAGACTATATAATATATATAGTGTAAACAAATTTTATATGCATTGGGAAACCAAAAATTTCATGTGACTCACTCTATTGCAATATTAGTTTTATCGCGGTGGTCTGCAACTGAACCTACACTATCTCCAACATATACCTGTATTCCTTTGTAAAAGTATGTCACATTTGGTTAGATATTCATCAGTTCATAGACATCTAAATTGCTTCCATTTTTTGACTATTATAAATAACACTACTATGAACATCATTGTACAAGTTTTTTGTGTGGGGCCAAACGTTTTCAATTTGGGGGCAGGGGGGTATACACCTAAAAGTGCAATCTTTGAGTCATATGGTAACTCTATAACTTTTTGTTGGAACTATCAAACTGTTTCCAAAAGTGGCTGCAACATTCTACATTCCCAGCAGAGACTTACCAGGACTCCAACTTTTTGATATCCTTGAAACACTTGTTACTGCCCATCTTTTTGGTTTTTTGTTTGTTTGTTTTCTATTAGTTTCAGGTGTACAAAACAATATAATGATTAAACATGTATACCCCTCACAAAGTATTAATCCCCCACCTGGTCTACTTACTGCCCATCTTTTTTATTACAACCATCCTTGTAGGTGTGAAGTGCTATTTCATGGTTTTGATTTGCATTTCTCTAATAACAAATGATATTGAGCATTTATTGGCCATCTGTATATCTTCTTCGGAAAAATATAATTTTACTTTTTTATAAAGGTCCCTCTAGCTGTAGTGTGGCAACTGGACGCAGGAGAAGAAGGGCAAGAACAGAAACAGAAAACTCGCTAGGAGGCAGCTGAAGTAGTCTACGCAAGTCTGTTGGCTTATCCTAGGCTGGTGACAGGAGATGGTGTGAAGTGACAGTTCATGCTATGCTTAGAGGGCAGAACTAACAGAACGAACTGATGGACTGGATGTGGGTAAGACAAAAAGAAATATCTAGAATGATTCCTAGAATTTTTGGCTTGAGCAACTAGATTTAATTGAGTTAAGAAAGACAGAAGGTTTTCAGGGGAAATCAAGAGATGTCAGGGGAAAAAGAGTGATTTTGGCAAAGTTAAATTTAGGACAACTATTAGATATTCAAGTGGCTGTGTTGGTTAGACAACTGGAAATATAAATCTACAGTTCAGGAAAAGAGGTCAGATCTGAGCTCACCTTGGGCAAGTGTATAGATAGAGAAATTAAGAAGGTCAAGACTAAGTCCCTGGTTCAGACCTTTATTATTCAGAGGTCAGACAAGAGGAGAAGGAGCTGGTAGAGACTAAGAAGGTACAGCTGGTGAGGCAGATGAAAACAAGGCGAGTATGGCATCTCGGAAGCCAAAGATGCTTATTTAAGGAGGGAATATACAATTAAGTTGAATGCTGCTGAAAGCTCATGTAAGTGGAGGACAGAGAACAGACAACTGGATTTGGAAAAATGAAGGTCTTTCCTGATTTTGGTAAGAATGACTTCAGTTAGATAGTTGAGATAAAAGCCCAATTAATGTAGGTTAAAAGAGGCTGGACACTGAGGAACTAGTGCACAATTATATAGACAACTCTTTCAAGTCATTTTTTTGTGTATGTGAAAAGGAAGAGAGAATTAGTGAGGTAATTGGAAAAGTCAATTGTAATAAAAAATGTATTACTTTAGAATTATCTCTTATTTTGATTTTTCATTAATTTAGATGGGATCTCCTTCCAAGAAACATGTATTAGAGAAATATTACTGTACTTGTAATCTAATATTTCACATTCAACTGGAATTCTTTATTTTGAAAGATCCATGTGGTTAAAAGACCTTAGAAAACTAGCCAAACATAAAAAACTAGGTAAGCAAAAAATCCCCGTTAACACTAGCTAGAAAATAATGCTGACAAGTCATTTAACCTCCCTAGGGTTTAGTTTCCACATTTGTAAAATCACGGTAAGTAAAGATACTCCTCCAAATCCTTTCAGTTCTAACAATCCAAAATGCCTCCCCTGCCTACGATATCATACTGTCCTAGCAAAATAACATAAAATAAGCAACTCACAGAACCCAACTATTATTTACAAACTTTCTAGAAGGTTTATTAACTGAGAAAATCTAATAAACTACACTGGATAAAATAAATAGAAACAAAATTCATTCATCCGACAAATATTTACTTAGCGCTGTGTCAGGTACTGCTAGACACTAAACATACAATAGCAAACGAAAATTGTCAAAAACCCACATCATATTTCTTTTTTAAAAAAGGGCATAACTGAACTAGACTGTAGAGGATGCACATTTGGGTGACAAAATTATGATGAAATGTAAGGAAATGATTACTATAAAAATCAGGATAATGGTTCCTGGTGAGGAATGGTGATCAGTTATGACAGAGATAGAGCACAAGGAAGGGGATTCTGGAGTAGGTGGCCAAGTTCTATTTCTTGACCCAAATGGTATTACTCTTGTAACTATTCAGTTAGCCACAGATTTAATTCTTGTGATTTTCTGTACCTGTGCTTTCACTCTAGTGAGGGGGGACAAGGAATATATAAAATAATAAAGAGATGATGTAGTATATTAGAATGTAATTACATGCTACTGAAAAAAATAAAGCAAGGGAGAGAGATAAGGAATGTTGAGAAGGACAGTATAATTTTGAATAAGTGGTTAGAGGAGGCTTCATTAAGAAGGCAACTTTTATGATGTGAAGGAAATGAGGGAACAATCCAAGTGTATAACTAGAATAGAGTTTCAGGCAGAAGGAGCAGTAAGAATAAAGTCCTGAGGCCTGGAGTGTCCCTGGCATGTTCAAGAATTATCAAGGAAGCCATGGTGAATGAAGAAGAGAGTAGTCGGAGAAGTAGGAAGAAACGGGGGCCAGATCACAGTCTAGACCACATACTCCACTTTTAGTCTGAGTATGATTAGGGGACAAGAAAGGATTTTGAGAAGGGGAATGTCTTGACCTGACTTAATATTTTAACAGAATCACTGGGGCAGCTGTGTTGGGAATAGACAGAAGAGGGACCAGTTAGGGGACTACTACTGGAATCAAGGATGGATGGTGACTAAGTTTGGGGTTTGAACAAATAGAAGAATGGACAAGATGGACAAGAGTGCTGGAGGAAGAGATCTGGGGGAACATTAGAAGCTCAGTTTTATAGCACACTACATTCAAAATGCCTATTAGATACGGAAGTGAAGACACTGAATGGCCAGGGGCATATAAATATGGGCATAGAAATATTTTATGTATGTTTTAAAGTTTTCTATAGGTCCTGTGTATCTCAGTCAACTTTTCCCTTATATGCAATAATGAAACACACACACAGCAAACAAACTGAGTAGACAACATAATACTGAAAATACTGCTGTACTTGCCAGTGACTATGGAGAGTGAGTGCTGCAGCCAGGGAGTAGTCCATCGCAGAGGAAGGGTTCAAATAAGCCGCCGGAAGTAGGCCCAGGAGCAAAACACTGACAACTCTCTCACCAGTCCAGTGAAGAGATGCAGCCTTGGAACCAGCTATAGAAAGGACCAGCTTCATAAGAGTTGAAGGGGGGAACATATTTCTCACATTCAACATTTGCCTCAAAGTAACCCAAACTGATAGAATGGCAAACAGTATATATATATATAAGACTTAACTCTGAGTATAAAGTGGGTAAGATAAAGAGGTTGTTGAGGGGCCAGCCAAGTGGCTCAGTTGGTTAGAGCGCGAGCTCTGAGCAACACGGTTGCCGGTTTGATTCCCACATGGGCAAGTGAGCTGTGCCCGAGTGGAGTTGTCTCTGAGCTGGTGAGAGTGCGTGCTGTTAACAAGGTTGCCAGTTCCCACAAGGGATGGTGGGCTGCGCTCCCCCGCAACTAAGATTGAATATGGCACCTTGAGCTGAGCAGCTGTGAGCTGCCCACGGGTGGCCAGGTGGCTCAGTGTGCAACAAGGTTGCCGGTTCAACTCCTGCATGGGATGGTGAACTACGTCTCTGCCCGCCCCCACCACCACCACCACCACCACCACCACAACTAGACTGAAAGCGGCAAGTGGACTTAGAGCTGAGCTTGCACCCACCACAACTAAGATTGAAGGACAACTTAACTTTGAGCTGAAGGGTCCTGGAAAAAACACAATGTTCCCCTTCCCCAATTCCCCAACACCCCAATAAAAAAATCTTTAAAAAAAAGAGGTAGTTGAAAAGAGATGCTATCTCCCTTCTTTTGGTACAGGGTGTCTCAACACCTACTATCATGAGTAAAAGATAGATCCACTTTACTTACAGGCAAGATGAACAAAATGTCTTTACAGAATTACCAATCTTGGACTTCAGTGTAATGGACAGATAACTTACGTATATAAGTTAGTGACACCTGAGAAATTCCTTTGAAACTTTACACCTTTATTTTTATCTTCTAATCTTTGGAAGTAAGGTAATATTAAAAATCCTCCTAAAACAAAATTAAACTAGCCAACTCAAAGAGAAGCAAAATTCTGATGTCAACTTTTAGGATCATGGTTGTGGTTTTGTCCCATCACTTATAAACTGCCCAAAACTGATATGGAACACAGACTTCTTTTAAACAAGTGAAAAACAAACTAGGCTTTAAACATTTCTTTGAAAGCCTATCTTTTTTTGGTTACAGACCCCTTTGGGAACCTAATAAAAGGATGAAGTGACTTCCCAGAAACATGCACATGGACACATACATTGAAAACTATGTATACAACTTCAGGGGCTTTCCTTCAGTCCCTTGAACCCCAAGTTAAAACCACTCTGCTAAATCTAACTGAAGTAAGCAAAAGAATGCAGACACAAAAACTTTTCAAGATAAAAATTATTCTAAAAAGCAGAAAGACGATACTTGCCTAATTTCTCATAATTCAGATGCAACTATATCTAAGTGGTTGATGTAAGAATCAAGAGAAGTCTTCATCTTTGTAAAATACTGATCTTTCCAGACTTTAAAAATGGAAATACAGTTAACTCATTATTCATCTACAGATTTTCAAAGACTAATTTAAATAATATCTAAATAGTATTCATCCAAGAAATGCCATGATTTTAATATCAACCTAAATAAAAACAAGCAAGTCAATTACAATTATATGTGTATGTATGCATGGCTTTTTTTAATTGTCTACTATTTTAAATTATTTATATCTGGCTCTTCTCCATCAGCTAAATAATTAGGAGTGACTAAACTACTTCCTACAGAGCTATTTTCTTTTTTAAAAAATAAAAAATTTTAAAGACTTAGACCAGAAGGTTCTCTATGAGTGTAAATGGCATCATTCAACCATGCTGCCATTGTCTGCCCAAAGGTGTAGGCTAAGTCTTCATTTGACAGAATTGGACACAAGGGTTTTCTCTCCAGACAGCAAACCCTGCTAAAGGCATGATAATTAGCCCAGATGAAGACAGCCAGAGAACCCAGAAAGCAGCAACAATGGAGAAAACATACAATGGCGGCTGGGTGACAGGTGAATGTGCTGCGTTCCACACCATCCTGGGGTAGGTCGGTCCTGAAGAAATGCTGAGACATGAGCAGGTCTGACCACTGGGGTTCGGAGGAGAACTGAGGAAAGAGACATTAGGGGGATCATAAGCACCTCTCCTTTAATGGGACTGACAGACTTTCTAAATGACCATAGGCAAGCTACCTCAACCCAAACAGAGGATAACATCTCAAATGTAAAATGAGGATAGCATCTATTTGCTATGAGGTCAGACTAAGTAGCCAGTGAAAGATTGAAAAGTCAACAAACCACTCATATAAAAGGGCTTCACTTTTACTAATTTTAAAAAGTAAATTATATATATCGGGCCAGCCAAGTGGCACGATGGTTAAGAGCTGGCTTGGGACGCCAGAGGGCCCCGGTTCGGATCCCACATATGAGGGCCAGTGACACTGCCCCCTACAGCTAAGATGCTGAACAACAGCTCGACCTGGAGCTGGGTGCTTTGAGTCGCCAGCGATAGCGTAGGCTGCAGCCCGTGGCAGTGGGTTGCCATGGGCTACCTTGTGTAGCCAGCAGCCAGCGTGAGCGGCCAGCAGCCGCCGTGAGCGGCCATCCAGAAGCCGACGACTGATCTGCCTCTCCCGGGAAGAGCACAATCATGGTGCCAACTTGGGCCAGTGAAGCAACGTCCTCCACAACTAGACTGAAGAACAAAAGGACAGCAACTTGTCTGTTTCCCTTCCCCCAATTCCCCAGCGCTGTTCCCATCCCCCAATTCCCCAATAAAAATCTTAAAAAAAAAAAAATTATAGCTCCTTTCTCTTTCCATTTATTCATCTGCTGTGCACTTGAGTAAGAGATAAAAGATACAGTCTTTGTCCTCAAAGAATTCAGTCTAGTTTGGGAAGTTCATCTATTACTGTCCTCCTTTTCAAAAGAAATTTCTCCACTAATACTCTTAAACCCATCCCTTTCTGTCCCCTTTGGGATCCTTTCTCTTGGTTAAAAAATAGACAAGACCTAAGTTCACCTAACTCCACCAGTTACTAGCTGTGAGATAATCAGCAAATAAGTAAGCCTTCTAGCCTCAATGTCCTCATTTGTAAAATGGGAATAATAGCACTTATTTCATAATACTCTGTTGAAAATTAAATAATAATATGCAAGGTGCTAATTTCCAGAATAGTATAAGCACTCAATAAAAGGTAATTTCTCTCCTGTATCTTTAACCTCTCCTTCCTATTGGCCATTTTCCCTCGACTGATGTAATATACTTAACCCTTCCCTTGATCCTATGTCCTCTAATGCCCATGCACTCTTCCCCTGCTCTTTGTCTTTCCAACGATGCTTTTTTAAGGGTTGTCCAAAAACCTCAAATTCCTTACTTCCCTATCATTCTTCAACTCTGAAACTTACTTTTATCCCCACCAAAGCTACTTTGCTAAGTTGCCAAATGGTCTCAAGTGGCCATATCCAACAGGTACTATTCAGTCCATCTTATTGGGCCTTGCTGCATCACCTGGCATAGGTGGTCTTTCCTCTCTTCTTTGCTCTGACAGAACTTTCTTCTAGTTCTCCCTTTGATTCTCTGACCATCTTATATCATCAGTCTCCTCCTGCATTCACTTTTAAATGTTTTCCCAGAATTCTAATCATCTGCCCATTGCTCTCCTCCCTTCCTCTGTCCACCCCCAGCCATTTTGTCAACTCAGCTTCTACTGCCTATAAGCTAATGACACCCGATTTTCTATCTCCAGCCCTGACATCTCTCCAGTTTCAGACATTTAAGTGCCTGCTGGGCCTCTCCCCTAAGATATTCTACATGGTCCTCACCCTTACCATACCAAATACTAAAATCATCCTTCAACTCGCTTTCTCATCCAAGGTTGTCTCCCATTTGCATGTTCTCCACTTTAATGACATCCCAGCTACTTTTTAACCTAACCCAGAAATCTGGAAGTCATGTAGGACTTTACCCCTAAATTCGGACAATCGCCAAATCATACTGATGTATCTCCTTTACATTTCTTGAGGCAATCTTCTCTTTTTTTGGTACTACTCTCCAAGTCCAGGACCTCACCATCCTTGCCTGGACTACAACAGTGCCCTATCTCATCTCCCTGACTTGTGTCTTAGCCTGCCCCATCTCCTGTGACGGCCATCTACCACACTGTTAATAACGTGGTCAATCTAAACTGCAAATCTATGTCAAATCTTTTAAGGGCTCTCCTGCACACCAGGTAAAATGCATAGTCCTTATCAAGACAAGCTCTGTGATTTGATTCCAGTTCACCTTTCCAGATTCATCTCTCATTCCTTATCCTGAACTTCACACTCTAGTATTATCCCATTTGTTTTGTTTTCTCTCATATCAACCAGTTTCTGCACCTTCATCATTGGTTTTGCTCATCCCAGTAGCTCTAACTGTAATAATGCCCGTCTTCCTGTTGCCTTAAACTCAAGACTCTTATCAGGCACACCTCCTTAGGGAATCGAGACAAAGCTAAAACACAGAACTAAATATATTCCCCCTCTGTAGTAGCATAACAATTTATGTACAGCACAACAGTTTGTGTGTTTCCCCTACAAAAAGGAAAACTCTTTGAGGGCAGGAACTACGTTTTTTTCACGTTTGTACCCCAACCTTATTACATTGCCTGGTATAACACAAATGCCCAGTTCAGTGGCATTTGAATTGATCCGTCCCACCCCTACACCAACTCCAGGGAAAATGTGCAAGGCCAGGCCTTGGGACTTGGATCCTCTTTTACGATTCAGGGTGGGCGCATTCTAAGGACAGTGAATGGGGAGAAAAAGAGAGCTCTTATGAATAGCCTCAGCAGGGCTGTAACTTCCAGAAGGAGTTCTCTTTCAGGTTACCCCCTCATATGTCGGCCTAGAGCAGGGGAGATAATGCGCTCCGGTGAATCTCTGGGCCCGTAAGCAACGGTGGTCAATGCTGTGGTTTCAGCAGGAGCGAGAGCGGCCAAAGGGAAGAAGGGATTCCCTGCTCCAGAGATCTCACCACCCAGCAACGAGCCTCACCGCATCCCCTTTCCCGACGGGAGGCTGCGCTAAGAACCTCGGGCTGCCAGGACACCTCACCTCGGCCTCCTTGGGCACTGCACAGGACACTCAGCCTCCAGACACACGCCATCTCGCTACTGCAGGCTCAAGGTCATCCAGCAACCCGGAAGCAGTCATACAACGCCCCCCGCCCGCCCCCCCCCCACACACAACAAAACAAGTGAAAGGAAAACGTTAAGTGAACCGGAAGTCCGGAGTCCGCGCGCGTCCGGCGCACATGCGCGTACACATTGGTCGGCAGGTCCAGAGTCCGATCCGGACAATGGCGGAGCTGGGTGAGGCGGGCGAAGCGGAATTGCAGCGCCTGGTGGCGGCCGAACAGCAGAAGGCGCAGTTCACTGCACAGGTACGGGGACAGGAACCAGGGTGAAGAGAAAGGAGGATGAAGTACAGGTCCCGGGCACCCGCGGAGCTCTCTATACGCCGGCGGCGCGGTGAGGCCGCCAGATATGCCTGCTCCGCCCGGTTCCCCTCGCAAAAGAAACGAGTCATGGCGCTGCTGCCGCTGGTGACCAGTGGTGCCCAGGTGCCCGCTAAGGATGCCCACCGTGGGGAAAAGAGAAGGCGTAAAGCAGAAAAGGAAGGTTTGGGCGACGCCATGTCTCGGGAGCCTAGTTTATCGATGAGCCCTGTGGGCTGGCATTCGAGAGATCTAGGTTCTAGCCCTGTCTCTGCCACTTATAACTTATAGGCCACGTGCACCTAGACGAGACACCCATCCACAATGGGTCTTGGTTTTGCAGTCGCCCGCTGCCTCTCTGGATTGTGAGGATCAAATGCGGTGATGTATTTGAAAAACGATAGCGGTAGAACATTACTGGGAAAAGGTGGGCTCTGAAGTAACCTGTTTATTCGTTTAGAACAGTGTTTTGGAGCCCTTTCGGCATGGTTGTAACGCCGCGTGGTCCCTTATTAGCTGCATGACTGAGCTACTTAACCACGCCCCTTAAAAGGCGGCAGAAAGGATCGAACTGAATGCTTAGTACCCAGCCTCCTAAATGGTGAGCCCTCGGTAAATGGTTATTTCCCCCCACCTTTTTTTTTTAAGCTGGGGACGACGACTGTTGGTAGGGGTAGGGATTCATGGTGGATAAGAGGCGAGAACCCTGATTATAATTCTTTGGGTCCTGACCATTATGAAAGTGCACACATTTTCTGTGCCTGTTAGGTGCATTTTTCTGGCTTCATTGGATTCTCAATGTGTTCATGACCCCAAAAAGGTTAACAACTTAAATACTGTTCTCTAAGGGATAGGTTTAGAATGAGATGAGTACAGTCGTTTGGGGGGAATTAATTGGTACCATACCTTCCCAGCCTCCACTGGTGCTAGTTTGGGAATATAAAAGAAGGTATTAACCCTGCCTGAAAACTTACATTCTGATTAAGGACCTGACACAATTAAAAAATAATAGACAGTGGTCTTCAAGGAGGTAAGAATTTGAACTGTTTGAATAATGAGTAAAATCTTTAGAGAGGGCATTCCAGGATTATTATTAAGAGTCAAGTTGAGTATGCTGTGTGGGCCTCACTGAAATAGTATGGATTGGGATTAACCAAGGGAGTGCCCTGCGTGGCTAACAGAGAAATTGATGCATTAAGCAAACACAGGGGTGACTTGATGGAAAATATTTTTTAATTACTAAAGAATAGAAAAAGGAAAGGATAAAAGGATTACTGCACTGTGGGGATGAGGAACTGGACCATATGGGTGACAGATTAGGAAGTGAGGAAAGAATAGAGCCCATGGTTCGTTGATTGAAAGAATGGTTTAGTCAGGTGATTAAATGGGAAGGAAATAAGAAAATTGGCAGTTAGGCCCATATGCAGACCCCAATGGTTACTACTTTTCTTTTCTCTTAGGTGCATCACTTCATGGAGCTATGTTGGGATAAATGTGTGGACAAGCCAGGGAATCGCCTAGACTCTCGCACTGAAAATTGTCTCTCTAGCTGTGTGGACCGCTTCATTGACACTACTCTTGCTATCACCAGTAGGTTTGCCCAAATTGTACAGAAAGGAGGGCAATAGGCTGTTCCTTGGGAGAAGGACAGAAGCAGCAACACACTTGTTATTAAGCAGATGGAAGGGCCAGTGGGGGAAAGCTGTCAACCCACTGTCAGGTCAACTTCAGTCGTGCTGATGTTAAGAAGTAACAGATCAAATGTTTAAAAGTGAAATTTATTTGGAATTCAGAAATTCCACATTGTGTCACAATAGTTATTCAATAAATGTGAATTCTCCAACTCATTTTTTAAATCCCATTTTAGGATTTAATAAGATCTCTGATTGACAGGAACACTAGAATAAACGTTCCAAGGCCAGGGCAAATGGGAGATCTTAGGTTTTGAAGAGCCACCCTAAGCCCTACTTAAAGGGGCTGGAAGAACCATCAAAGCCTTAGCCTATTGCATAGAAGAGAAAGGTGAAGAACAGAAAACAGCTTTATTGCTTATACATGACCAAGAAAAGGTAAACATGGCAAAAAAACAAAACAGGCAAGATATGCATTCCTTTGGAAAGAGAGAGGCCTGCTAGTATGGGAGGAAGGGAAGGTCAAGACCCAAACAGAATCAACTTCCTGGAGATGTCTTGTGCCACTGCCCATCTTCCTGAGTGCTTAGAATCATGTCATAGCACAGAAACAGTGCTTTAAAAAAGTGAAGGGCCAGCCGAGTGGCTCAGGTGGTTTAATAGCTCACTCAAGTGTGTGTGCTCTGAACAGCGGTTTGATTTCCAGCCCGAGCTGAGCTGCCAATAGGTGGCAGGATGGCTCAGCTAAATAAATAAATAAAATAAATAAAAAGTGAACACTCCTTAACAACAAAGATTTCACTTGCTCCAAGACAAAAACAATTGCTTTAGGTGAAGAGGTAGTAATTATAGACTGTTCTTCCCCCCGTTGGGCCCCTGTTAATCCCAAAGATAAAAATATACACCATGGAACATTGACAGTTCAGTACTAAAGTATTACTATTTCAAATACATATCCCAAATGGTAGCACCTGCTTATAGTCACAGGATAGGGAACCTCTGGCCAACCATGTATTTTATGACTAAGCATTTTATTAGAAATCTATAAAGAGAACAAATTTAGTAGTTAGAACCACAAAATATTACCACCTCATGAAATGTTGTCATAGTTATATTCTGTTGCTGGTGTCTTACACTGTCATTTTACCATGAAGTATTTCTGTTATTATACATGGGGCTAAAAGTAAGGCCAGGGAGATTTAACTACCTGCTCGGGATCACATAACCAATTAGTGGCAGAACCAAGACAACGAGTCTTGAGTTTTCAAGCTTTTTACTTAGCCCATGTAGTGACAACCAGGAAAAACAATGTCACCTGATCGTCTGCCATAATGAAAAAATTAACTTGTATTCTGCCAGCTTTCTTTCACTTTCAGTGTGATTTTGGTTTCTTAAGAATTAACATAGGGATTGTAGCATCTAGTAAAGGGAAATAATATGGTTTCTGCTTGGTTCTTTAATCCAAAGGCAGAATGGGAAGAATTGGGTATGTCCCTGAGAAGCCTGTTTCATTTTGGAACTGATTCAACCTAGTTCAGGGAAAATCTAAATTTCATTAATAGATTTAGAAATGAACGAGGAGGACAACATTTAAATGGCAGACGCTGCCCTGAACCCTGTTCAGAGCACCATTAGCATGACTGACTCCGAATTCTTCCCCATTTGGTTGAGGACTTACCTAAGACAAGTGCAGAAATAATTTTAAACACAAGTCCATTTAGGCAATATACAGCAATGGAACTAGAAAACCATTTACTATCCAATTACCGTGTTTTAAGGGTATACTAAGTATAGCTACAGTTCCTGTCCAGCAGGTAAATTTGACAGAAAACCCTAGCCTCTTCTAGTAACAGCTGTCTGGATGTTATAAAGGGAAAATCTGTTCTTATTGGACCATGTGTGGGGCCAAAATAAAAATCAAAGCACCAAGGCTGAAGACAAAAAAAGTCAAGTGGCACCTGCTACATAAATCAACGGGAGCAACACAATGTTCCCTTATACCATTCTACACAGTACTGCTTTCCCCAAAATTCAACATTTCAATTGTTGTACCCAGGTCACTGGATTCAGCTTTCTGGGTCCTTTAATTTGCTATATATGCACTCTATGCTGAATGTAATTAATTGCAAAAAATAATCTCTTGAAGAAACTTTCATAACAAAATACCAAATTCCCTATTAACAATGAGGATCAAGTTTAACAAGCCAAAATAGAAGACAAGTCTGTAAGAACGCATATAGATGGCACGGAACAGCTCTGACCTCAAGCCCCCTGTGCTGAGCAGTAGTCACTGGCAAAGCCCCAAGGTGCAAGAGCTGTAAATATCCAGTCACATGGGAAACTGAAGAATGTTTCTTTTGCATTTAGTCATCCTCTGAACTCTCAGCAGACCTTTCATCTGTAGCCACTTTCCAATTTGTGCGTTTGTTTGTCCTCTCCTGTATCTCATTGTTTACTACAGGGACATGAACTTTTTTATCTCTCTTTTTCCTTTTGGTTTTCTTAGTGTCTCTTTCCTCACTTTCCTCAGAACTGCTGGATGCAGAATCAGCTGCCTGAGAAGTGTCACTTTCTGCCTCTAAGACTAAAGCAGATTTTTTGAGAGACTTTTTCCTGGATTTTTTCTTACGCTTATGTGGTTGTTTTCTAGTACTAGAAGCTCCAGTTTCTTCTGAGAACTCGCTTGAGGTATCTGCCGTTATATCTGTGACTTCCTTTTTGCTTTTCTTCTGTTTTTTGTGTGACTTCTTTTTCTGCTTTTTTTTGTGGGATTTCTTTGACTTCTTGTGCTTGTGAGTTTCATGGGTAGATGATTTTACCTGGGGAGATGTTTTTTTTCCATTGGTAATATCTTGCTGATCACTACTAATAAAAAAGAAAATGCTTTACTATAGAAAGTAAAAAGTATATTTCTATTTAATATTCTGAATTCTAGATAGGAAGTTGGGGTTAACATCTGAATTTTAATAGTTTGACATAGGGTTACTATGAGACTTTATCACTTTCAGTGAATTTTTGTTTCCTCATCTTTAAAATGAACATAAAAATTCTAACCTGTCATACTGAATTACTGTATTCCCAGGGATACTATATATAAAAACCTAAGTGCTATAGATGTGTCGAATATCAATCAGGGAAAAAGCAAAATACCAATTGTTTCCCATCTAAATCGCCTGTTACTTCTCAGTTATATTTTTAATGGCAAATGTTACATGCTTTGTAAAAACTAAGAACTCAGTTTACAGTTCAGGCTTTGTACTAATCTTAGTTTCTAACTTTTTTTCCAATAAGCCTAATATGCCTTACCTGTCTGTTTCAAACTCTTCAGGGTATAACTCTTTATAACCACTGTGACCCCATCTGTAAGATGACATATTACACATACTATTAAGGTAATACATACATTTTTGAAAATTAAAATAGACTCAGGAGTGCATGCATACAGACAGACACAGAAATATGGTAGAGCCAACCCCACATTATAGCTCAGTAACTTAGTTGGCTACATTTTTCTGTACTGCACACTATCATTTCAGACACAAAGGACTCCTTTGTCCATTTGTAAGACAACTTGCCATTTTCTTCCTTAAGAAACAAGCAGCTCTTATACTCTGCTCTTTCACTGCAGTACTTCAACAAAAACACTTCATAACATGCTGTATACATTGGTACAATTTTCTTTAAATAACTTTATCGAAATATTATTCATATACCATAAAATTCAGCCTTTTAAGTGTACAAATTCAGTGGCTTTTAGTATATTCAGAGTTGTGCAACCATCAACCACTATCTAATTTCAAAACATTTTCATCACCCCAAAACAGAAACTCCATCTGTTAGCTGTCACTCTCAATTCCTCCCTCTCCTAGAGCCCATGGCAACCACTAATCTACTTTCTGAATTTGCCTATTCTGGGAATTTCATATAAGAAAAAAGCATTAAAATATGTGTCCTTTCGCATCTCATTTTTACTTAGCATTGTGTTTTCAAGGTTCATCCATGTTGTGGCATGTATCAGTACTTTATTCCTTTTACTGCCAAATAACATTCCATTACCATTCCATATACCACATTTTGTTTATCCATTTATCAGCTAAAAGACATCTGGGTTCCCACTTTTTGGCCATTATGCATAATTACACTGTGAACATTTGTGTACAAGTTTATGTAGGGATAATTAATTTTTAAAAGTACACATTCTCAAGCCATGTATCATTAATTGTCACAAGAATTTAGTCACAAACCTGTCTGGCATGTTAGCTTCATAATCATATAACTTCTTGTTCCAGGATTTAGCCTTAAGAAAATTATCTTCCAGTGCTCCAGAAATTTCATTCTTTGGCCTCCAATAGTCTCTCTGAGTTTCATCATCAAAACCATCACTACGCATCCGGCTATGTAAAAAAACAAGAACTTTTTAGATTTGCAAGCAATCGCTGAGGTCACTTTATGGAACACCATGCACAAAACAGACTGAACAAGCTAAGAGGAGGACAAAACAAACTGATAATTTATATTTTTTGAAAATCATAAAAAGACATGATCTGTTCCTCTTATAAGTTTGTACAGATGTCCAATGAAAACTGGACCATTACTACCTATCCTATTGCAGAATATAAATGAAACGACTTCTGGACTGTGGCACTATATAGCTCACTAACTCGCAAGTAGGAGGGCATGCAAAGTGGGAAGCAGAGCATAATCACAGCTGGGGACATTCCAAACTACCCTAGAGATTCTGAAATACACTCCCTGGAAAGCCAGCAACTTGCTGTAGTGAGGTCACAGTAACGATGGAAACGAGGCACAATCCGTGAGTATGTTGGGATAGAGAACCACTGATTCAATCTGTGCTTACAATATCCACTAAACCAGTCACTAAGCCAGCTAATGAGTTTCCAAAAATGTTTTAAGAGCTCCTCTGTGCCAGGCACTTTTCTAGCTACAGGGAAAATAATGCGAATGAGACAGAATCCCTGTTCCTAAAGAGAATAAGTTTTAAAGATTTATTCACCATGACAGGCATTAGTAGTCCACTGTAAAAGAACAGTACATATTTTGTTCCTGGAAGTGCCACTTGGGATTGAACAACCACAATACAAAACACATCATCTGCACTAATAAATAGTACAGTACTTCTAAATTCTCGAAGGACAATTTTCAGAGAGAAAACAGACTGAAATAATATGTATTTTTATGTTGACACTGCTTTCTTGACCATGGATGCCCTGCCTACTTTCTTATCTGAAGCTATTTACACACAGCTGTCACACTCCAAAATCCACATACCCTGCAGGCACACTCATTCTCCTTAAGTATCTCACTATTAACTATTTTCCTGGGTGGCTTTAGAAATCAGCATTATTACTTTTACTAATAATTCATACACACAGTTGTATACTAACAGGCATATGAGGCCTAACAGATGTTCCTAATACTCAAGACATTCCTATACTGCCACAGGTAAGACAACTAAGCCTGTATAATCCTTCATATTTACACTCAAATTATTAAGAAGGTAATGTCAAAGGCTGTGTGATTTGGCAAAAATGATAGGGTAAAGAAAAAGCTGAGATACAAATAGAAAATCTGAGGTTAAAAGACATCAGGTAAGTTTGAATCCACAGAATCCTTAACATTTACAATTGTTCAAGGTAGAATTTTTAAATTCTCCATTGCAAATAAGTACAAAGAGGGACCATATGCAGCATAGCCATTACCTTCACGCTTGAGTCTAGATTTATGAAAGAGGAAAGGCTTAAGGACTCACAAAACTGAATTCATCTAGAACACACCAAAAATTTTTTAAACAAAAATTGATTCTGAGTAAGATGAGATTTATTTTGGTTCTCAGATCTGCAACTTCACCTTGAACTGCTGGGTAACATTTTCCTTTTGGTCCCCCGGTAAGCATCTTCCATCTGTTTCTCCAATTCTCTTATTTTCCACATATCTGATTCCTCCTGAATCTAGATTTTTTTTTTTAAAGAAAATAAATAAGTTACTACAAACAACACTACATCACAGGCAAGTAACTGAAAATACACTCTGCACTAATCATTGGATTTTAGACAGGGTTATGATAAAAAAAAAACCTGGGAAACTATTATTGCGTTATTGGAAAAGTCATAATGTATTTTTTCTGTTTCTCGTTGCAAAAATGCATCATGACTTTTCCAACAACCCAATAATTCTGGTTTTTCTAGTGTGGTTAAACAATCCAACCCAGTAAATCTCAAATATGTAGAATTCTGCAGCAACAGAACTTTGTAACCACTACACAGACACACAGCTTTATCAATTTTGCAAGTATGCTACAATTAGCAAATGATAATCCCTTATGTTTCTAAAATGCTTTATGATTTTAATTATATCAATAGAACCTTAAGCAATCTTATAAGGAAAGCAAAGCAGATACCATTATTATATTTTACTGAGAAGAAACAAAAGCTGAGATTTTACCAAAGTGAAAACGCTAGTGAGGAGAGGTCTTTAAACTTTCTAGGCTAAGTTTCTTTTCACAACATTACATTTTTTGTTAAAGCAAAACAAAATAAAACAGCATGAGAATTGCTAGAGAATTCCCTGAATAGCAGATTACAACTGACCAAAAAACAAGAATATGTTTTATATCCAAGTCCTATAATATTAGGTTAAATCTGTGTCAGATTTATGTATTTTATCCACCACTTTCAAATCGAAGCTCACCATTCAATTAGGGATGATTTAATGCAATTATAGAGGCTGCTTAGGTAATAAGTTATACCCTCAGAATCAAAATATCAGGTGCTATGATAGTAGTAACACTTATGATCAAACTAGGAGTTGTAGAATTCACCAAAGAAAACCAAACAAGGGCCTTGGCTCTCTTTTCATTATATGTGCTGTCCTAGGTGACCCCATCTACTCTCATGACCTCTATCATTTCCTACATGTCAATAATCCCCAAACCTGTATGTCCAGCCTCAACTTCTTTCCTTTAAGTCTGAATTTCCGGCTGTTTGGACATCCTATAAGCACCTCACCATCAATATGTTCAAAAACAAACTAATAACCTTTCCCATCATCTCTGTCCCTTTTCTTTTGTTCCCCATTTCAATTAATGCCATCACCATCATTCACCCAGTCACAGAAGGTAGTTCTATTTAATTCCATAATTATCAGTACCACCCAGTCACTAATTTCTTTGGATTTTACCTCCTAAATTCATCACCTTCATCTCTACTGTCACTGCTTTCATGTGAACTCATCATCTCTCACCTAGAACACTGTAATTCCCTCCTAATTGGTCTACTGTTTCACCCCATCTGATCTATCCCCTACCCCGCTAAAATATCATCTTTTTAAAATACAATCAAGTCACACCCGGCTTAAAAAGATTTGATGGTTTTATTGCCTAGAGGAAAAAGTCTAATCTCCAAAAGCATCACAATCCATTCAGGCCTCATCTTCTGACACTAACCCCCAGATTCCCTAGTTTATAGATGCACAGAATTTCTTGCCATGCCCCAAGTACCTCATGCATTTTCTTGTTGCCATATGTTGGTACATGATATTCTCTCTGTACGGAATAATCTTTTACATCTGGTAAACTTGAACCTGTTCATTCAGAACTAGTTCAAATATCAGCACCTCAAATATCATCCATTCTGTAAAGCCTTTCCTAATCCCCTAAGGCAGATTTCATTATTCCTTCCTCCATGCACTGAAACATTTTATAGTACCCAAAAAACTGTATTGTAATTATCTTTTTTATTCATCTTTGTATCTTCCAACTGTAGCAAAACAATGCTTGGCACACTGTTATGCCCTCATTAAGTGCTGAGGAATAACTAGATTGTACCTCTCACCTTATTATGAGCATCTGTGTGCCGGATGACATTCCTCAAGAGGACTTTCCCCAATGGAACCCGGGACATTCTTCAATCTGAAATGAATCAATAACATTTAATAATGATAATATCCTTTATTACCTTATCTTTTATTATAATGTTATAAAGAAGCATGAGGGTAAAGGAAATATCGCTGAACTAGAAGTCAGAGTTCTTGAGGATGTATTTTTTTCTTCACCGTTAAAAGAAGAAAATGCCTGACCACACTAACGTGAGGATGAAAGGAGATAATGTACACTGGAGTTCTTTGAAATAACATCATTTTATTTAATCCTCAAAATAACTTTTATGAAGCAAGTATCTTCTTTTGGAAATTCCCTTAAAGCCATAACTTGCCCCAGTCCACACTGTCCAAGTCAAGCAAGGTCCAGGTTAGAAAACTGTCGAATCCCAAAGTTTGTTTGCAATGAAGCAAATACCTCCATTTGTGTGTCAGGGACCACAACGGTAACAAAAACTGACGCCTAAAAACATCAAATGCTGAGATGCCCTATATTTCTCCACTCAGGGTAATTTTGTTTTCTGTTTTGTGCAAAAGCCTCAAAAAAAAAAATAGATGGCAGGGCTATTCACATGTGTAGCTCGCAGGGGCTTTGTGCAACCACCCCACCGCTCACTCACCCCTCGATCCTGAAGAAATCAGGCATCTTGTTAGTGGGAGACGAAGAACCACTCCATTATAAGATCTCCTCCGACCCAGGAAGCCAAGGAGTCAGGGCTCAAAGGCAGCTCTGCAGCATCACCCGAGTCCTTCGTGAAAACGCAGCCTTCCCACGGGTTATTCTGCCCTCACCCGTGCCCGAGGCAACGGCTGCCTTTCCCTCAGCCTAGACCGACCCGCAGATACCTCTCCAGACTGAGGCCCGAGGCTGCGCCGGCGCGGAATCGGGACGCCGGGGTTGGCTGGGGCATTCCCCACTCACGCTCCTCTGGGATGGACCCGGGGGTCGGGTTTCGCTCCCAGTGGGGACGCTTTGGACGGGTAAGACCCTCGACTGGGCCCCAAGAAGTATCTAAAGTGCCTCAAGTGGGGGTTGAGGCTCCCAAGAGGAAGACAGAGAAATTACCCCCATCTTTGTCATCGGGATCCCTGCCCCCCAGCGGCGAAGGAGCTCCCGGTAACCTTCCCTCCAAACGCCCTCCCTACACACATACACAGAAACACACCCATACCGTGCGCCGCAGCCTCGCGTGGCGGGGGTTGGGGGGAGGAAGCGGCCTGGGAGGAAAGGGAGCAAGCGTCCCTTTCAGGCCGGAAGTCGTGCTCCTGAGAAATTCTTCCCACCAACAGGCGATCCAGAGACTCCCACAGAGAGGGTTTCCAGGACACTCAAGAAGTCAACAAATGCAGAAGAGAGGCGGGAACCTTCCTGAAAAAGAATTGGGTCGGGCTCAGATGAAAAAGTGAGGCCAGCACCAGAAGGACGAGATTCCGGAACTGGATGTACAAAGACCTTTCTACCGAGAGCTTGCCGGACCCAATTAGATGCTGTACCCAGTCTGGTTACCCGGGCAACAGGCGTCGCGGTTTGTCAGGAACCAAGAGGTGGGTTCGCAGACCTCTGGAATGATTGTCCTTTAGTTAAGTTTCCTATTTAGTCTAACCCTCATATAGTATTCAAGAAACCCAAAGCTCCTCTTTTCCTGCTCCAGGTCACAGCTTGTAGGTGATAAAGCTAAGATCGGAATCTAGGCATTCTGGCTCCACAGTTCATGCTTTTGACTAATAATAAGCTAGGCTGAGGATTGAGGAAGTCTCATGTGCCCCTCACCTCACACAAACCTCTGGCAATATCCAGACTGGATAGGAACCAGTCAGCCAAAACCCAGGTGCTGGAAAAAGCAAGTCACTGGGAAATCTAGTCTTAAAACTCTTTCCCCTTAGGGCTTGTGAGGGTCAAAGCAGAGGTAAGTCCTTATTATCTGAGATGACAACTTGAGAATTTAGGAAGGGTACTAGATAATTTGAGAATAAGGAAAAGGTAAAATGGTACTGATCCACAGTCTTTTAGACACAAGTCTTAAGGATAGGTGTTAACTTCACCAAAACAATTCCTGAATTGTTCTTCCTTCCCCCAAAGAAAAAATGAATCAACAGTTACACTGGTTTTTTTGCCTAAGTCATGTCTTTCCACAGACTTAAGAGGCCTATTCACCTCAATCATGGAATCATCTTCAAAGGGTCTGCTCACCCAAGTTACGCAATTCTGGAACCTCCTAGATGACCTGGCTGAAAGTAACCCTGAGAGCTATGAGAAGTTCATTCAACAGCAGCTGAAACAAGGGAAACAGCTCTGTGCTGCCCCAGAACCACAGCTCTGTCTACAAACCAGAATCCTGGTATGTAGAGTTGGTGCCCAGGGCTAGGGAGGTCCTGTATGAAATAATCCTGGGACCAGAGATGAGCTTACCCAAAGCTATTGGTACTGTAATACAAGAAAACTTGAGGGGAACTGCCACTCTATAAATGGAAAATGAAATGTTGTGTGGAAGATTGTGTTGAAGGAATAAATGTGGGAAATTCATATTTGATATATTTTGGAGATCTCAAAATGAGCCAATTTTTTTCTGTTAGAATGAAAATAAAAAGTAATATGTTGGTTTAATAGAGAATCATCAAGTTGGAGATTTTCAAAGAAAGAATTTATTTGTTTGAGGAGGTAAGGAAGTGTTGAAAGAGGGTCAAATTCGCCTAGAACAGCTGCTTAGATCAATTCCCTCTTCCTCTTCCCAGTTCCTCTGGGGCAGCACCTGGATTCTTGATGAAAAGCCAACAGCTCTGGGGTAATTAGATAACAGTATAATTTCTCAAACACAGTTTTAATACATACAGTGACTTAATTGGAGCCTAAAATTCTCACTCTTCAAATTCTGCGGTGTATTACCACCTGTAGGATATTATTTTAAAATAAAGTGCTAGCTTTTGAGATATGCAAAATTATTTGATTTCTAGAAACCAAAAGAAAAACTACTTTTTATCAACTTATGTCAGTGGAAAAGGATTCCAGCTCCCCAATCAACCACTCACCCAGTGCCTCTCAGTGTTGGCAGACCAGAAGATATGTCTGAGACATCAGGTACATAGAATTATGGGAGAGAAAGCACATTTTAAAATATTTTATTGGGAATAGCATGGACCAGATTTTACTTGGTAAAAGGCATTACAAGTAAAATATTTTATTTGGTTATAATGTCATGACTAATAAATGTACCTTTCTGCAAACTGATAGTTTGTCTAATAATACGAGCTGTTTGTAACCCATATAAAATGCCAAGAAATACCCTAATTGAAGTTTTATGTGTATAGCATCATTGCGATTGCCTCTGAAAAATACAGGAATAAAATGTATAGTTTCTAGCTTTATCAGAATTATGGCTTAATATATTACCTGACCATATTGGTAGTGAAATAAGTTGTCTTCATTTCATACCCTCTGAATTACACCACAGATGTTTACACGATCATCGACGTTGCCTACAATCCTGATGTTCTCCAGGCAGCAGAAAAGGACCAAGTGAGAAAAGATCAGTTAATACGGATGGCCATGAAATGCATTGAGGAACAACTCCAGTTCACTCTCTCACATTTTTACCATATTACCAAATTTAAAATAAAAGGAAGCATTCAAAGGATGAAACAAAATCTGATGGGAATCCAAACTGACCCCACAGATTCAAAAGAAAAAATGAGAAAGGGTAAGTTAATGAATGTAAATGGAAAATTAAACTGATTTAAATTTTTAAAGATGAGAAACTTTAGAAAAAGATGAAGATACTAGAAATATTTGCATGTTCTTAAAGATTTTTAAATCCTACAAACTTTTAAACCAAATTCTTTAGTTTAAGATTCTTTTAAGATTCCCAAACTAATATGTCTGCATCTCGCCATCTTGGATAACACTACATATATTACAGCTCATAGCCTGATTGTATTAATGTTGATTAATTTTGTGATTTCATCTCCCCTTTTTTTTTTCATAAAGAACTAACCCTTGAACAGATAAGAAACAGTACTGTGAGCAATCCAGATGACTTCCCTCATCTTTTACTGCCAAAAGACCATGTTTCAGGCAAAACAGGGTGCCTGATAGAAGAGATTTCCAGTACAGAGATCCAAGTGGAGATGAAGAGACCAGCGTATGAATTAAAATTTGTGGTGGATCAGAATAAGAAACCGCTGAAAATTGAATTAAAAGTTGAATTACCTGGTATTAATTCAGTATCTCTCTGTGACCTCAGTGTTTCTGAGGTAGGTTAAATAGATAATACTGTAAATTTGTATCAGTCAACATTCACTCTATTATGTTATGGTAACAAACTCCACAATCTCAGTGGCTTACAATAATTTGCTCAGGTTACATGTCATCTAGGCTTCCTCTGCTCCACAAATCTTGCACATTTCATGATATAGGTGAAGAAGCAATTCCTATCTGACTATGGCATTCTCCTGGCAGAGGGAAAATAGAAATACAATGGATCCTAAAACTTCCTCTCAGACATGGCATATATCACTTTGACTCACCTTCTATTGACCAAAGCAAGTCACGAGACCGAGTCCTACATCAATAGGGCAGGAAGAATACTCTTCTTAAGGACAGGAAGTCACATGGCAGAGATATATGTATAATCCTCTCACAAGCAAATAATTGGCAACAATCCTACAGTCTAACACAGTCAACCCTCTTGGTCACAAATATTTGCATCTTTCCCCAAGGAAAACACCTCCAATCCTAGTACTTTTGATGACAAAAGGACAGGATTTTGTCATCAAAAGCATTCTGCTCCTCCCGAACCAGACTTACAAACTGCAAACACAAGTTATCTACTTTCATAACCCCACGCACTATACAATGTGGAATGGGGAGAAGATAACTACAGTTAAGTGTCAATTCAGAAAAGGGAAAAATATGAAGCACACAGCAGGTGCTGGTACACAGCAATTCTGAAATCCTGGTAAGCAGATATTTTGAGGGTCCCTTTCCTGGAGGCAGAGGATGTTCTCACTTAGGGCCACGACAAGGTTCCTTGATTACCTGGCCCCCAGTTCCATTTTTTCCCATTACCTTCAGTTCCATTCTTTGGGAGTGTTGTTGCTTTTCCCCTTCATTATCTACCTTGGCCACATCTGAAAAGAGCATTGGAGAATGTGGCATCCTTAGGTACCTGTTTCATGCCCATGCAATGTTAGGGTCCTAAGGCTATTTTAACTTAGTTTTAGTCCAGACTGGCAACATTTTATTTCTTCAATTCCAGTCAATAATATACCCCACAATCCTTTTTTAGACATGTCAGTTTTTCAGTGGCCTGTGTTTTTTTACTTAATAGCTGTTGTTTGAGCCAAATGTAAGGATTTACTGAGGTCCACCTCAACCCAGTTAGAGATTTTAAGAAAGGGTATAAAGACTTACGATTTAGTCTTTGCTTCTTGGCTGCCTTAATCAGTCTTTGTTCATAAAAAACAAAAGATCTCGATGTTATCCTTTACTTGTTGAAAATAAAAATTAGTTGCATTTTTGCCCTCAAGTCTTAAAATTTCTGGGCTCTGAATATTCTTTCAACTCTACTTGCAAGCTGGTAAATTTTTTTCTAAGCTCGTCTTTTTGTAATACCTTGTTAAATGTAGCTAATAAAAATCAATGCATGCTACCAACATTCTTTTTTCCCCACTTTACCTAAAGCCACAAATTAACTAGGCATATAATTTTTCTTCCAAGTTTTTGTGGTAGCTTTACTAAGGGTTTTATCACTATAAAACACGGATCACCATCTTTCCAGTCTCCAGTGTTTCCTTGCTGTTGCTGTATACCTGCAACTAATATAATATTGAATATAAACTGTAATTGAAAAAAAAAATCCTGAGGGTAGAACAAGGTTTCCTTGCTGTTTGCTAGTCCACCCCAAAGTCAATGCACATAATTTAGGATGACAATACCCATTATCTGGTACTGCTATCAGTTAATTTTTGATGTGTTGAGCAACAGTAACAATCTCAAAAGCTCAAGGATTTACATCTGGCAACTTTATTGCTCATTGCAAGTCACATAGCAATAATGGGATTCTCTTCTTATGGGAAAGCAGTAAATAACTGGGAACAATAATCCAATAACACTGCTTTTAAGCAGGAAATATTTTTCTATTTTCATCTTTTAAAATCACTCTTGGTTTACTACTTTTAGGATGATTTATTGATTGAGGTCTCTGAGAAGTACAGATTACATCTGAATCTTCCAGAACCTGTGAATCCTGAAATGACGACAGCAAAATTTATGAAAGAGAAAACTACATTAATCGTCACAATGCCATTGATGTAAGTCAAGAGCATCATGTGTTTTGGGTTTTCAGTGCTGAAGTTACAGGACCTTCATTATGGTGAACAAGGAGGTAGTGGTTTTTCTTAAACACTAGTTTCATATTTTCTAAGAGTTCCTTTTGGTGGAATGAGATTTTCTCATTAGCTGTTCTTTTTTTTTAAAACTTTCTCCTCAAATAAACTTGGCATTAAGCAAAAACTACTAAAAACAGTATTGCCACGATATACTTGTTTTGAAGATATTTGTAATGGTCTTAAGTAACTTAAATACCATTTGAGGAAATTCTATTTAACACGTGAGAATTGTTTAGTGGTTGAAAAAAAAATTTGTCTCTAGTAAATTTTTGCATCAGGAATAAATCACAGATTCTGCAAGTTTATTACCAAAGTGGGCCATAGCAGTTAAGTTTCCTCCAGCAGTAAAAATACAGATCCAGTGTAATCATATGCAAACCTATGCTTCTGTGAATCTCTGCTTCTATAAAACAGCTGTCAGGGGTCCAAGCTACCCAGGTGTACAATACAAAATACATCCAACTCTAAGAAAAAGGAGTTGACTTTAGGACAAGTGCCTTTCTCCTAAGAAAATAATTTTTAAAAATACAGAAGTGATGTACTTTTCAACTCCCATTCATCTGAGTTGTCAGATAATTGTTCAATACAAAGGTATCAACTTTCCAATTTATATCTTATGTAAGCAATGTTTACAATCTTTAAACATCCCTAATTATCTTATCTAGATACAAAACTTCCCTGTATTACTAGTTTCTAGTTCTTTAATTACTAGTTTCTAGGTCTTTAAATAAAGTCCTTATTAATTTTAAAACTTTTTAACTTCTGTGACTTTAAAAACATATTCTTAAAACTGGCTTGGATTTGAGTCTTTCTAGAAATAGGATAATTTATCGTGTGAAAATTTTCTAGAACTATATGATGTCCTAAAATTAACAAAGCTATTATATAGTCTCATCCCTCAAAAAACAGTATGCTTTCACCCTATCTTTTCTTCAGACAAAATCGCTGACCAACTTATTTCCTAGAGACTCCCGTAACCACATGAAACTGGCTGAATCTCCACTATTTTATTCTGGACAAAAAGGGGCGTTATACTAAACCTGATAAGCTCAGGCGAGGCCTGCATGGTAGGCCTGACAAACTCAGAAACCGAAAGTAACCACATAGGATGGTCTGAACATAAAAATTGCTAACTAAAAGCGGGTCATGGCCAGTAGTCACATCCTTGGCCCATAGCTTCCTTGACAAAAGTTAATCTTTACCTTAAGTGAGCCTATTGTCTTTTTCATCCAAGATAACAGTGCCTTGGACAGTCAGAATAATCCCTTTCCTCGGACTCCTTAGGGCACAACCCACTACACCAGAGCCCAACTACAGAACCCCTCATTGTTATCTTGTTCCCCTGAATACCATCTCTAGGTGCTGTACCCACCAACGTAAAAGAAGGGTCTTTCCATTTTACTTTTTATCCAATCCCAGAGATTTCCCCACTTTGCTTTCTCCTACCCCCTTAATCTACCACCAATGGATTTCATGTAACAATCCTTACACTCCTCCTTTGAGTCTTATAAAATAAACTGCAAAACTGCCATTCTCCAGACCATTTCCTAATCCGTTGAGATTTTGTTTCCCAGCAATTGTTAGATTGGTTCAAATAAACTCATTAAAGTTCTCTACAGGTTTGTACGTTTCTTCAGACAACTCGCAGTGCTTAGGAGTTACTTATGTCAGCAGCTATGTATTTGTGTACTCATTAATAAAATGCATACCAAGATCTAATATACTTAATGTTTAAATGTTAAATTTATATCCTAGTTATTTCCCAAAATATTTTCATTTATTTCAGTGTGTTTTATATTCATAAAAACATTTCCACCTCCACCTCCCTACAGAAAGCAAAACTTTGCCCAGGAAGAGCATTAACTAATAATGAACTGTGGAGTAGTTTAAATTTGAATCTTACCAAGATATTTTCTTCAAAACTTGAAATTATTTGAGATGGACATTAATTATCCTTGATTTAGAAACCAGATTTTTCTATAAACTTGCTTTGAGGTCATCCTTGCAATACAGCCCTGTCATCTCTCGCACTGGTCAACCTCTCCTGTAGACCATGCCTTGGGATTCCATAACTACATTGACAAACCTCAGGACTGGAATAAAATACCTAACAGAGCAGCCCACTTTCCTCTTGCTGTGCGCCACACCCCAACATGAGGTGCTTCAGTAACTCCCTGAGCTTCATTTAGCAGAGTATATCCTTCTAAACTCAGTTCCTATTTAACCAGTTCTATAAACTCAAAATGTATCTGTATTAAGAGCTTACACATATATAGCTGCTGTCCCTCGTCTTACTCATTTCATGTGAAAATTACCAACAGATCAAAAATTAGACCAGACACATTAAAAACATAGTTTTGTTTGTAAGCAATCTAACTGGAACCAAAACCACTATTTCTAACTTATTCTTTCAGTTCTGGTAAGAGAAATAGACTGAATCAGATTTTGATTATAGGTCAGATTAATTTTTAACTCAGAACAATTTTTATTAGAAGTCAACTTTTTATTTCTTTTCCAAGGGAGTAGAAGAGCCGTAAGTATTAGCAAAGAATGAATTATCTTTGAAGTTTCATGTATTTGAACCAGATGTGGCTCATACTGATGATGGTCCCTTGTGATAAGCTTGTTCTTTCAGTTCAAGCTATAATTACTAATTACTGTATTGACTTGTTTTCATAATACAGCAAGGGAAATATTTATGGAATATATGGAGTGTCACTTGTGTACCACGCAATAATAAACATTTAGAAACAGATTCAACAATGAAAGACCTAAATTTCAAGGCATAGCTCCACATATTACATATACAAGGAAGCATTAGTCAGATTTATTTTAAATAGCCATAAACAATTCCAAATATTTATTAAAACACATCAATTCAATAGAAAGCTTGGAATTGTGATAATGTTCCCAATTCATTTTAATTATCTTGAATATCACCTCCTCCTTCTCCCCCAGCAGAAGAGAAGCAAATCATAAACAAACTGGAAAAAAATATTTAGACTGATAAGGGAGTAAGCAATCTAAGTAACGGATTTCTCTCCAATAGGACTTTAGGGCTTTCTTATGTTACATGAGACAACCCTGGGGGTAGAAAAACACAGAATTCCTTTTTGTACACATTCAACATTTTTTACTTTAAGTAGAAATGACCACTTTGTTTTGGTCATCATCCTTTAGTACTCTAAACTGTTCACCAATTGATCTCTCTCCCTCTTCTTTTCAGATAAGACTTGGTGATATATGGACTTTGGCACATATCTCACTAGAAACCATACTTTACATATATACACTTATTCCATAGTTACTTGATATAGTTTTCTAAAGTAATTTGAGTAGTAAATTCTGGTAATGACCGTATTTCCCCATGTATAAGACGCACCCTTTTTCGAAAAACGGGGTGTAAAACCTGGGTGTGTCTTATACAGTGGCTGTAGATTTTTTTACTTGCATTTCCCACTTTTTCCACGCTTGTCTTTGCGCTCATTGTTTCGCATTTGTTACCGGTATATTAGGTTATGTTTTGCCACATTCTGTCCAGAAATGGCTCAGAAAAGAATTCAAGTTAAAAGTGATCCAGTTTGCAAAAGTGAATGGAAATCATGCTGCTGAACATAAGTTTGGTCCTCCTCCAACTGAGAAAACAATCCGAGACTGGCTATGGTTGGGAGTTTTGACGATGATGAGGAGTTGTATGAATTTTATGATGAATAAAACTTGAGTTCAATAACTTAATGTAATACATTTTTTTTCAAATTTCAGGCCCCAAAATTAAGGTGCATCTTATACATGGGGAAATACGGTACATTCATTTGCAAGTAACCACCAGTTAATACTGGAAGAAAAATTCTACTTTCACAACTTCTCTGTTAAATTCTATAAGCATATTCTTCTTATTTGGAGGTAACTGTAGAATTCTGCTCTCAGAATTATACATTTAGGATGTTTAAATAAATACCCACACAAATTCTCATTTATACCAAGTAGCTGGTTTATATTTATATCTCATCTCAAGAGGCAATAACCATTTCGGGATTCATAGAAAAATAAAGAACAGATGGTTGAAGAAGTCTTACGAAAATGATGACTTTTAAAATTTCACTTATTTTCCTTGAAGTTCTCTACCCTTCCCATCCCTTATAAACGAATATCATGTAACAGATACATTTAAATTAGGGTGAAATTCCAAACTCAACCTTCAATTCAAACCCTTTCTCCAAGAATTTCGTGACTTCTCTTTCCCTCAAAGCTAAGCAAAACATAGGAGGCAATGAAGTTTCAAAACCATAAGGTTTCATCCTGGTTACTTTCATGTACCTGACTCAACAAAAACAACAATTCTACCTCTACATTTCCCAGTGGAAGTACTTATCATACTTAATCACCAAAGGGCTAGGCCACGTCCCTTGACTACGAGCACACGGCTTAAAATATGGTGTTTATTAAATGTGCACAACATTTGGGTGTAACTGGCATTTAAAAAAATTCAGTAATGACCAATACAAATAACTTATATGGACAGACTCAAAAATAACTGGTAAGCTTTAAAATAAAAAGAACCACCTGTTTAATAACATATTTATATCTTGATAAGATCAACCAATGTGACTTGGAAGAGTCTAGAAATTCTTGGGTTAATTATAACAACATGGTGACAGGTTTTTCAAGGTACTTTCTAAACTCAGCAAGCCACTGGGCTCCAACTGCTCCATCCACAACCCGATGATCACAACTGAGTGTAACAGACATCATGCTAGCCACATCAAATCTAGAAAAAGATAAAAACATTATTAGGTATTCTGAAAGCAATCACTGGATTTTAGCCAGTACCAGTAACCAGCCCAAATGCCAACTCCTGCCCTATAATCCCAACCAGGTAACATGATGTTCTGCCTACTTTTCCTGTCCTGTATACTTCTAGGCCAAATTAATAGCTTGAAGAAACAGACCAAATAGCCATCTAGAGCATGGGTTGACAAACATAGGCCACAGGCCACATCCTGCCAAATGCAGGTTTACTGGAATTCATTTACACAGTGCCTATGACCACTTTCACACTATAATGCAGTATTTGCAACAGAGACTACATGACCCAGAAAGCCTAAAATGTTTACTATCTGGCTCTTTAAGAAAAAGTATGGTGACCCCTGTCCTACAGTAAATAAGGCTTCCCATCTCAAAGATTAACTGCATTTGGTAAAATAAGAAGAGTTGCTGCCCTGAGAAACTTCATTCTATACTTACGTCTGACTCTACCTGGAGCTCCAATATGCCATGACAATAATTATAAAACTGAGACTCAAAATCTGGTATAATGTAATGAAAATAAGCTTTCAACTCCCTCTCCATTTTGGCACTTACCCTTTTTCATTATCTGCTGGAACAAGTCTATCCTCTGAAGCACCAATTGCCAAAATACATGCTTGAGGTGGGTTGATAATAGCAGAGAAGTTCTTAATCCCAAACATTCCTAAATTGGAGATTGTAAAAGTGCCACCCTAGAGGGAAAAAAATTAAAAATAGATATTAATTGCTTAACATAAATTCGAAAAAATGACGTTTTGTGAAAAGACCTTAAGATAATCTTTTACTTTAAGACAGGACTCTGAACTATCATTAAAAAAAAAGGGGTGGTGGGGGGAATGGAAGTATATGAAGTGAGACATATTAATTAGCTTGATTGTGGTGATCATTTCACAATGTATACACACATCAAACATCAAGCTGTACACCTTAAATTTACAGAATTATTTGCTAATTATAGATGAATAAAGCTGAACAGAAAAAAAAAAAAAAAGGCCTGAATGGAACTCTCTTTACTGAAAATATACAACCATTACACTATGGACAAAAGTCAGTTGTGTGGCTTTTGTACACTAGTTGGAAAACGTCTTATTTTCAGCTTTTGACAGGTTATTCAATTTTTTCTTTATTTTCAGGACCTGTCAATGAGAATACAAGGCAGAATCAAAAGGTGGAATATGCAATAAAAGCATAATGCCAACCTTAAAAATAACATAATACTTAACATTCAGAAGGGAAATAAGTAATACCTTACCTGGAATTCCTGTGGCTGTAGTTTACCCTCTCGTGCTTTGGTTGCTAAGGAAATAACATCATTAGCAATGGTTTCCAGTCCTTTTATATGTGCATTAAATACAATAGGTGTGATGAGTCCTGCAGGAGTGCTGACTGCAACACTGATATCAACAACATGATTTCTATTTAAAAAGAAAAATGAAAAGGAATCCTCAATAGTCATCAGTATTGTTGAAGAGCTTATGTATCCGACTAAGCAAGGATATTGATATTTACTTCAGTTTTTACTACTCTTCGGCCAGAGAGATAGCTTTCCTGGTTTTTACATTCTGCTGTGCCCCCTCCTGGACTTAACACTTTTAGAATGAAAACTATGTCAGTAGGTTGGTTTCACATGCAGTCTCTCAACTTCCCCCATGTGCCTCAAATAACACAGGGGTATAAGAGAAAAAAAGGCTCAGCATTCAGTGAGAATTAAACAAAAGGAACTCCGGAGATTTTGAGACCAAGTGGATTGGCTGGAGTTGAGTCTGTAAGCAGATCATGAGCAGATGAAAGGAAGAGTGAAGGGAAAGGACTGCACTGTGGGCGAAACAGATGTGCTCAGGATGTAGGCTGGCGGCACCTCAGAACATAAGATTCCTAATATTTTCCACACCATGGGCGTCTCTGCATTTGGATCCCTTCTCAGAACATATATTACATCTATCTATCTATCTATCTATCTATCTATCTATCTATCTATCTATCTATCTATCTATCCCTATAGATAGATATAATATATATATATATTAGAACATATGTTTGTTTTTTTTTTTTAAGATTTTATTGGGGAATTGGGGGAGGGGAACAGCGCTGGGGAATCGGGGGAAGGGGAACAGACAAGTTGCTGTCGTTTTGTTCTTCAGTCTAGTTGTGGAGGATGTTGTTTCACTGGCCCAAGCTGGCACCATCATTGCACTTTCTGGGTGAGGCAGATCAATCGGCGGTCTCTGGACAGCCGCTCACTGCAGCTGCTGGCCGCTCACGCTGGCTGCTAACTATACACAGTAGCCCATAGTAACCCACTGCCACAGGGGCTGCAGCCTATGCCATTGCCGGCAACTCACGGCAGCCCAGCTTCAGGTTGAGCTATTGTTCAGCATCTTAGCTGTAGAGGGCAGTGTCACTGGCCCTCATATGTGGGATCCAAACCGGGGCCCTCTGGCATCCCAAGCCAGTTCTTAACCAACGCGCCATTCGACCTGCCCAGAACATATGTATTTTTTAACACAGAAATACTCAAGTCACCAAATAACCCCCCCAAAAAAACTAAAAACAAATATACTGAAATTCAGTTATCAAATTATTCAAAAAATGAAATTGTGATATATGTGCTATTGTATTAACTCATTAATAAGATCCTGGGCCAGCCGAATGGCTCAGTTGGTTAAGAGTGCAAGCTCTGAGCAACAGGGTTGTGGGTTCAATTCCCACATGGGCCAGTGAGCTGTGCCTGAGTGAGCTGCCACTAACCTGCCAACAGGTGGCAGGATGGCTCAGCTGGTGAGAGCACATGCTCCTAACACAAGGTTGCCAGTTTGACTCCCACATCGGATGGTGGCCTATTCCCACCTCAACTAAGATTGAACACTGCACCTTAAGCTGAGCTGCCCTGAGCTGCCGAGTGGCAGCCGGATTGCTCAGTGGTTAGAGTGTGTGCTCTTAAGAACAAGGTTTCCAGTTCGACTCCTGCATGGGATGGTGGGCTATACCCACCGGA